GAGGCAGAATAATGACTTGAATCCGGGAGGCAGAGGTTGCAGTGAGCCGAGACTGCACTGCTGCACTTCAGCCTGAGCGGCAGAGAGACTCCATCTCAAAACAAACAAACAGACAAAAAATTAGCCAGGGCCGGGCACGGTGGCTCACGCCTGTAATCCCAACACTTTGGGGGGCTGAGGAGGGCGGATCACCTGAAGTTGGCAGTTCGAGACTAGCCTGACCAACATGGAGAAACCCTGTCTCTGCAAAAAATACAAAATTTGCCAGGCATGGTGGTGCATGCCTGTAATCCCAGCTACTCAGGAGGCTGAGGCGGGAGAATGGCTTGAACCCGGGAGGCAGAGGTTACAGTGACCCAAGGTTGCACCATTGCACTCCAGCCTGGGCAAAAGAGCGAAACTCCGTCTCAAAAAAAAAAAAAAAAGAAAAGAAAAAAGAACTCCGGGTAATTCTTTGGAATAGTGAGGTTGTAGAACTGCTGTTCATATGTTAATAGACTCAGTTTACCTTTTTTCTGAATATTTAAAAACTTTATTGAGATAATTCACATACTGTGCAATTTACCCATTTAAAGTATACAGTTTGGCTGGGCGTGGTGGCTCACACCTGTAATCCCAGCACTTTGGGAGGCCAAGACGGGTGGATCACAAGGTCAGGAGATGGAGACCATCCTGGCTAACACGGTGAAACCCCGTCTCCACTAAAAAAAATACAAAAAACTAGCAGGGCACGGTGGTGGGCGCCTGTAGTCCCAGCTACTCGGGAGGCTGAGGCAGGAGAATGGCGTGAACCCGGGAGGCGGAGCTTGCAGTGAGCTGAGGTCCGGCCACTGCACTCCAGCCTGGGCGACAGAGCGAGACTCCGTCTCAAATTAAAAAAAAGAAAAAAAAAAAAAAAGAATTCCTCTTAAGGAAGATTTGTCCCTTCTTCAACATTTATTTATTCAATTATTTATATCAGCTTGGACTCATGGATATTTATTTTATTATCTGGGTTATAATCCCAACCACTGGCTTCCAAGGCAGGGCCTCAACTCTGAGGATCAGTTTTCTTTGTAACTGGCATTTCTGACTTCAAGCATCTGCTGCCCAAGGCCATTGGCTCTGGACCAGGCCTCCATCTCCCCAGGGACAGAGTAGAGTGATGGGGACACTGGGAAGGGAGATTATTGGGTGGCAATAATAGAGGTCAGGGTTGACATAATTTTTCCTGACTCAGGTCCCAGGTCAAGGACCAAGGACGTGGCTCTGGACAGGTCACTTCTGTGCTAGGTGCAGGCAGGAGGACCAGAGTGGCAGGGTTTTCTCTCTCTTTTATTTAATTAATTAATTTATTTTTTTATAGTGACGAGGTCTCCCTGTGTTGCCAGGCTGGTCTCGAACTCCTGGGCTTAAGTGATCCTCCCACCTTACTCATGCCTCTGACCGGCCAGCTACAATCTCAGGTTGCTATGTCCCCTTCCTTGGGTTAAATCATTTGCTAGAGTGGCTCAAAGAACTCAAGGAAACAGTGCCAGGCATGGTGGCTCATGCTTGTAATCCCAGCACTTTGGGAGGCTGAGGCGGGTGGATCACTTGAGGTTGGGAGTTTGAGACCAGCCTCGCCAACATGGTAAAAACCCAACTCAACTAAAAATACAAAAATTAGCTTGGCGTAGTGGCTGACACTTGTAATCCCAGCTACTCAGGAGGCTGAGGCAGGAGAATTGCTTGAACCTGGGAAGTAGAGGTTGCAGTAAGCTGAGATTGCTCCATTACACTCCAGCCTGGGTGACAAGAACGAGATTCCATCTCAAAAAAACAAACTATTGGCCGGGCGCGGTGGCTCAAGCCTGTAATCCCAGCACTTTGGGAGGCCGAGACGGGCGGATCACGAGATCAGGAGATCGACACCATCCTGGCTAACACAATGAAACCCCGTCTCCACTAAAAATACAAAAAAATTAGCCGGGCGTGGTGGCGGCGCCTGTAGTCCCAGCTACTCGGGAGGCTGAGGCAGGAGAATGGCGGGAACCCGGGAGGCGGAGCTTGCAGTGAGCCGAGATCGCGCCACTGCACTCCAGCCTAGGCGACAGAGCGAGACTCCGCCTCAAAAAAAAAAAAAAAAAAAACTATTTACAGGCCAGGTGTGGTAGCTCACGCCTGTAATCTCAGCACTTTGGGAGGCCGAGGCAGGTGGATCACCTGAGGTCAGGAGTTCGAGACCAGCTTGGCCAACATGGTGAAATCCCATCTCTACTAAAAATACAAAAAATTAGCTGGGCATGGTGGTGCCCATGCTCCTCTCTAAGGGAGACTTAGACAGGAGAATATCTTGAACCCAGGAGGCAGAAGTTGCAGTGAGCCAAGATCACAACACTGCACTCCAGCCTGGGAGACAGAGCAAGACTCCATCTCAAAAACAAAAAACAAAAAACAAAACTTATTTACATTTACCATTTTATTATAAAGGACACAGATGAAAATATAAATGCAACCAGGCGCGGAGGCTGAGGCGGGTGGATCACGAGTTCAAGAGATCAAGACCATCCTGGCCAACATGGTGAAACCCCGTCTCTACTAAAAATATAAAAATTAGGTGGGTGTGGTGGCGCACACCTGTAGTTCCAGCTACGTGGGAGGCTGTGGCAGGAGGATTACTGGCACCCAGGAGATGGAGGTTGCAGTAAGCCGAGATTGCGCCACTGCACTCCAGCCTGGTGACAGAGCGAGATTCTGTCTCAAAAAAATAAAATAACTAAAATACATATATATTTAAATATATAATATATATTATATATATTATATATGACATATATAATATATATTATGTATATAAATGCAGCAGCATGTGTGGGAGGGGCTCAGTTTCCATTCCCACCCCACTCCCAACTCCCACACACCCCTCCAAGGACTCCATGTGTTCCTGGAAGCTCTGGGAACCCTCTCCTTTTGGGTTTTTATGGAGGCTTCATTACATAGGCATGATTGATTGAACCATAGGCCATTGGTGAACAACTTAACCTTCAGGCCCTCTCCCCTTCCTGGAGGTTGGAAGTGGGGCTGAAAGTCCCAACTCTCTAACCCTGCCTTGGTCTTTTGGGTGACCAGCCCCACTGAAGCAGCCCAGGGGCTACCAGCCATCAATCAGTACCTAAGCATACAAAAAGACATCATTTTGGAGATTCGAGGAATTTTAGGAATTATATACTAGGAGAGAGGGTCAAAGACCAAATATATATTTCACAATATGAAAGAGCGCAATTTACGTATTTCAGGATTCCCTTCTTGTTACAACTTAATGAGATTTTTTTATTTTCCTGACTTTTCTCTTTGGATAATTAGCCAGTAGTTTAGGTCTGTCTTGTTCCTTTACTATGGGGTTTGAATTTGAGATGGGGCTGACGGCCCTTTTTTTGCGGGGGGGGGGATGGAGTCTCGCTCTGTTGCCCAGGCTGGAGTGCAGTGGCATGATCTCGGCTCACTGCAAGCTCCGCCTCCCGGGTTCACGCCATTCTCCTGTTTCAGCCTCCTGAGTAGCTGGGACTACAGGCGCCGCCACCAAGCCTGGCTAATTTTTTGTATTTTTAATAGAGACAGGGTTTCACCGTGTTAGCCATGATGGTCTAGATCTCCCGACCTTGTGATCCGCCCACCTCGGACTCCCAAAGTGCTGGGGCATTACAGGCGTGAACTGCCGCCCCCGGCCTCTTTCGGGCCCTTTTCTGCAGCTTAGAGTTGGCCTGGCTGCAGGGCTGGGACTATAGAATGGCAAGGAGGTGCCTCAGGTGCCAAATATTAGGTTGGTGAAAATTAATTGCGGTTTTGTCATTGAAAGCAATGGCAAAACCGCAATTACTTTTGCACTAACCTAATATAAGGAGGCGTGCAGTCTGGGGGTCAGAGTGAGTGTGGAGGTCTCCGGGAAGGGCCGCCGGCCTGGAGCAGGCTGCTAGGTCTGGGTCCCTGCCAGCCTTGCGGGGACGAACTGCTGTATTTTGCAGGAATTTACACGCTGGGTATGCAAGAGGCTGTATGTTTTTTGGACTCTAGGAGCGCTGCGGTCACAGAGCCGTCACGGCGGGAGGCGCTAGAGGACCCGGGGTGGACTCGGACGTGGGGTCAGGGATCCTGGCATTTATTCCTACCCAGACCTCCTGTTCATGCTGCGGAGCGTGGGAGGCTTAGGGAGATCGGCCGCCAGAGGGACGTGCGCCGGAGCCAATCAGCGTGTGAAGCAGGGCGCTATGTGGTTGGGGCCTCCGGTAACCTTTTTCCGCCCTGGAGTGGCTGGCCGGGTCATTGCCACTGGAGGTTCCCGGGGCTCCCCAGGTCTCCGGCATCCCCACATTGCCCTGTGACGCAGATGAGCAGAGCCGGAAGGGCCGCGCGGGAGGAACAGGGGTTGGCTTGCCCGGAGGCGGATTGATAACGCGACCCCGATCCCTGCGGTACTCCGCAGTCATGTGACTCGCTGCCTGGCGCGTTTCTTCGAGTGCCCACCCCCTCGAGAAGGTGCCCCTGGGGTGGGGGCTTCACATCTGCTTTTGTTTAGTGGTCAGAGGACTACAGAGGGGACCTCTCAGGACAAGGCCTGCAACCCCCTACTCCATCCCTGCATCCTCAGGCCCCTCTCATGGACAATAGGGTCTTAGAAAACGCCAGGGTGCTGGGCATGGACCCCTCAGACCAGATGCATTGGGAGGGGTCCAAAGAGACCATGAGAACCTCAAGCCCAGGTTGGGGGATTGGCCCCGAGGGAAAAGTGGGCATCCCTGGGCCTTGTCTTGCCTGGGTCCTGGACAGGGGGCTAGGTGGCTGCCCAGGCTGCAATGTTGTGTCTAGGCTAAAACTGTAGGCTGGGAAAGTCCCCATCATCGGCCTACCACCCAATCCCCACCCAAAAGACAGAAACGCCACCCCACACTGGTGCTACAGCACCTCAGGACCGGGTCTCCAGGCCAACCAGAGCCGGGCGCTTGCCCCTACGAGGTTATAACCCATCCTTTCTGCTTCTCCAGGCCAGAAGCCAAGGAGCCCTCAGTGACTGTGGGATCCAAGACATTATATCGCTGTCCCCACCGAGCCAGGGAAGTGCCAACACCAGCTCAGACAAGGTTGGTGTGAGAACCAGCGGGTCGGGGAGACTGTGGGCCTCCAGACGGGGATGCGACTGGATCTGGTTGTCCCACCTTCCAGGGCCAGCTGCAGTGCTGTGGTCTGCAAAGTGCTGGCAGGTGCCTGGCCCATGTTCCCTGTGACAACACAAACTGAGCTCATGTCCCCAAAGTGCTTAGCTCTGATGCTTGGTGCCCAGGGACACCAGTGTCAGTTAAAATGGACGAAGTACATCAGATGCTGTGTGGTCATGGGCTCTGTGTCCACTCTAGCTCTGCCACTCTGGCTGTGTGGATCACCCTGGCATGCCTCAGTGTCCTCAACTGTGACTGGGTCCATAAAAACAGCCTGCTGTCATAACAGGGGTGGGAGGGGGGGGACTGGAAGCAGTCCACAGGGTGGAAACCCTTTGACTGTGCTCAGAACGTGGGAGGCCCATCGGTAGTGGCTGGGCTCTTAGTCCATTAGTCACTCTGATGGCCCCTTGTGGAGACTGTTTACTGTGCACATTTTCCAGATGGGGTTAGATGGGGGTGACATATCCAAGGCTGCCAGGAGAGGAACTGGCAGAACAGAAGCCTAGTTCCATCAGGGCCCCCGCCAGCCTTGGCTCCAGCGAGCAGTGAAGCAGCCCCATCTGCCCACCTCCCTCCCAGAGTGGTGTCTAGAGCCCCCCAAGGGCTTCCTCCACTGACGGGATTTTGCTTCCTTCCTTAGGACGGAACCGCTGAACTCCAGGTTGCTTGCCTGGGAGTAGGAGAAATCCACCTGCTGGGGGCTGAGCGTGGCCTGAGGGACAGGCCCTGGGTCCAGGGATGCCCCTGCCTGAGCCCAGCGAGCAGGAGGGTGAGAGTGTGAAGGCTGGCCAGGAGCCATCCCCCGAGCCAGGCACCGAAGTCGTCCCGGCAGCCCCCAGGAAGCCCAGAAAGTTCTCCAAACTGGTCCTGCTCACAGCCTCCAAAGACAGCACCAAGGTGGCGGGGGCCAAACGCAAGGGCGTGCACTGCGTCATGTCCCTGGGGGTGCCCGGCCCTGCCACCCTTGCCAAGGCCCTCCTCCAGATCCACCCCGAGGCCCAGCGGGCCATTGAGGCAGCCCCTCAAGAGCCTGAGCAGAAACGCAGCAGGCAGGACCCAGGTGAGGCTCCACAGCGGCCCCCCAGGACAGCTTGGCACCTCCCAGGGTGGCCCCCACAGCCGCGCTGGCTCCATCAGGCCCTTCTCCCTGTCGTGCAGGTCCTCGTTCCCTGACTTTGACTACGTGTGGGGAGCAGTGGCACAGGGGTTAGGGCACAGGCCTGGGCATCCCCCGACCTCCAACCCTGCCTCTGAGCGGCCTTGCCTCTCTGCGTCTGTTCCCCACTCTGGAATGCGCTGCCCACTGACTCCTTCACAAGGGAGCATCTGAGGGTGTGGTGGGGCCCACAGGCAGCTGCTATCAGCTTCAAGGTCTTGGCTTGCAGCTGCTCAGTGAGAGTCTCTAAGGCCAGGAGCTTGATAGGTCACCTTTCCATATGTTCTAGAAAGCTCCTGTTGTCTCACTCGCTGTTCAGTCACTTAGCAACATCCACTGAACAGCAGCTGTGTGCAGGCTGGGCTCTGGAGACTCGAGGCACGCAGGATGAGACCCCCAGCAGACCAAGGCAGTGACCTCAGCCTGGCTCTCTAGGACTGCCCCTGCCCTTCCTACCTCCTCTGCCCAAGCAATCACCCCCCCGACAAGCCTCCAGGGAGACAGAGCTCGGGGCTCACAGGTCCCGTGGGGGAGTGGGGCTGGGGGTGTGGCCCTAGCTGCTGCAGGCTGGCTGGAGGTGATGGGTCAGGTTCATTCCCTCTGCTTTACTGTGGGAGTGATGAGATGGATGGAGGCACTGAGCGTCTTCAGCCCCGGCTCCCACTCCCCAGGGCCCTTGGCTCTGCCCCTGCTGTGTACTAGACCTTTCTGTCAGCTAGACTTGGGGGATACAGCCAGGTGGGGCATCGTAGCAGAGATGGCATGAGAGCAGGGCTGCCCCTTTCCCTGCACCCAGCTCTCCCTGAGGTGGCCCAGGCCCTGCCCCGCTGTCCCCTGTAGGAGGACAGGTCCCCCCTCCTGGCCCCCCAGCAGGTCCTCAGGTCCACAGGTCCTGCCTCTGGGCTCTACCAGGGCAGGCAGCAGAGGGGGCAGGGCCCTAGGCAGCAGAGGAAATGGGCTGGGTACACCTTTTGAGCTGGAAGTTCCAGAGAGATGGGGCAGGGGGCTGCCCAGTAGGTGGGAAGAAGATGAGTTGGGGTTTCTTCCCGACTAGGAGTGGGCTCTGCCATGCCCTAAGAAGAAGAAAAGTCATAGCAGGTGGCCTTGGCTTGTGACCTCTGAACAGGTGGCCCCTGGGGTCAGCCAGGATACTCAGACTGGCAGCCCATTGTAAGAAAAGGGGGTGCTCTTAGGGTTCCTTCAGTTTGCTGGCAGGGCAGGGACCCTGCCTCACTGATGAAAATTGAGGGGTGAGTGGCCTGAGGTCACAGAGGGTCACAGCCCCATAGCCTCGCCGGGGCTGAGACCCCAGAATGCCTGAGATGGTGGTGTCCACAGCCACAGGCTTGGAGCTCTCAGGGAACCTAGTGGACCCCTCGGCCTCCATTCCTTTGCTGGAGTCTCAGGCCTGGTGTGAGCAGTGCTGTGGAACTCAGAAGGACCCCGTCCTCCCAGAGCTGGTGGGAGTGCCTGGCTCTCACTGCGAAGCCCCCACCATCCAGTCTTGCTCTGAGAGCCTCTGTGTGTCCCCCTGGCTTCTCCCGCCAACCTTGGGCAGAGGGTGCAGTCCCCACAGCCTGTGGGAGGCAGGGCTCAGAGGAGTGAAGTCACCACCCTGAGGCCACCAGGAGGTCCCTGCAGAGGGCAGAGGGGGTTGGAGTTTGGCTTAGGGTCTATTAGCTCTGTGGAATGAGAGCATCTCAAGGTCCTCCTAGCCCCTTTGAGACTCCTGCTTACTGCTGGGATCCATCTAGGCCCTTTGTGAGAATTGGAGCACAGCTATCTTCTCCAGATGAAAGGCAGAGCAGGGCTCCATCAGGCCCCAGGGGTCCCGCAGGCAGTCACCCTCGAGCATCGACCACCCCCACCTGCCAACTCCTCCGTCCTTCTGTCCCCACCCCAGGTCCAGCAGAGGCGATGGCTGTGGCTTCCCAGTGCTCAGCACAAACTTGGCCTCACGTTTCCTGGAAATGATTTTAGCAGCTTTTGTGGCCCTGGGCTGGTGGCCTTGGGAGCAGTGTCCCTGAGTAGCAGTCACTTCTCAGTCAGGCAGAGGCTTCTGGCCCTGGAACATCCACTGGCTGGGGTGAGAGTGAGGCCTGGTAGACCCCCAACACCCAAGCTCAGCCCTCCCTTCTCCATTGACACCAGCCTGATCCACCTTCTTCTCTTGCAGGCGCAGATAGAACAGAAGACAGTGCATTAGCAGCGGGGCCTCCTGAGGCTGCTGGGGAGAACTCCGCCCCCTGCCCTGTGGCACCTGGCAAGTCCCTGTAACGTTGACGACAGCGCATCCTCCCAGGCCACCAATCCGGCCATAGGCTCTTCTCTGTCTGCAGGGCTTCTGAGGCCCAATCGGTGAATCTTTGCTTTCAACATTGTGTAATTTCTTTCTTTTTTTTTAGATCAAGTATAAGTTACTTTTGTAAGCAGAAAAGTACTTTCAAACAAGAATAAAAGAAGCTGTTCGCTAGACCCCATAACGGGCAGGTTTTAAACATTCCAGGCTTCTAGGTCCTTTGAGGCTCAGCTCTGATGCCAGCACCCCTGGGTCTCCCCACCCCAGCCCTTACCGGGCCCTTCCAGAGTGCCCCTTAGTCACTGCCCTCCCTGACCCAAGTCTCGCTTCCTCCATGAAGCCTCCCAGACTGACAGCTCCCAGGCACTAAGGGAGCTCAGCCTTGCTGAGAATGGTAGCTCCCGGATTCTGCTGAGGGAGAGGTAGGCCTGCAGCTCATGGGTGGGTTCAGGGAGGAACCTGACAAAAGCACATGCGGCCTGCCTGTCATGTTCTTTCCAGGGGGTCTGTGGGCTGAGGGAACCGGAGTTCCTGCCCTGGCCCCCTGGGTGCCACCCCTGCTGGAGGGGAGGTGAAGGAAGCACAGCTACCCTACTTGAGCTCCCACGTCAGCGAGCCTCCGAGAGGCTTCCCATGCAGTCCTCATTCTTTTAAAACTGCCTCTGGGCTCAAGGCAATGTTAGGGTTTTGTTTGTTTGTTTGTTTGTTTTGAGGTGGAATTTCACTCTTGTCGCATAGGCTGGAGTGCAGTGGCACAATCTGGACTCACTGCAACCACTACTTCCCGGGTTCAAGCGATTCTCTTGACTCAGCCTCCTGAGTAGCTGGGATTACAGGCGCCCGCCATCACGCCTGGCTAATTTTTATATATTTAGTAGAGATGGGGTTTTACCATGTTGGCCAGGCTGGTCTTGAACTCCTGACCTTAGGTGATCTGCCTGCCTCAGCCTCCCAAAGTGCTGGGATTACAGGCATGAGCCACCATGCCCGGCCCTGATTCTGTATTCAAATGGCTTCTGTGTTCACCATGCTTTCTCCTTTCCCAAGTGTTTTTTTGTTTGTTTTGTTTTGTTTTTTGAGATGGGGTCTCACTCTGTTGCCCAGGCTGGAGTGCAGCGGTGCGATCTCGGCTCACTGCAACTGCCGCCTCCCAGGTTCAAGCGATTCTCCTGCTTCAGCCTCTCAAGTAGCTGGGATCACAGGTGCGCACCACCATGCCTGGCTAAGTTTTTGTATTTTTAGTAGAGATGGGGTTTCGCCATGTTAGCCAGGCTGGTCTGGAACTCTTGACCTCAGGTGATTTGCCTGCCTCGGCCTCCCAAAGTGCTGGGATTACAGGTGTGAGCCACTGCTCGAGGCCTGTTCCCAAGTACTCTTGGCTATCTGTTCTTGTCAGATGTTAAGGATGCCTGAGGATGTCAGGGCAGGACGTGTCAGGTGCAACCTCAAGAAGTGGGAGTGAGGAAGAGGAAGCTGGGGTGGGACAGAGGGCAGGGTCACTGTGGGGCGCCCCTGCCCTATACTCAGTGTGGCACCATCGGGCCCCTCCTGCTGTTGCCTGGGAAACATTACCCGGCAGTGAGGGGTGACTGTGCAGCAGCAGGGCCAGGAGCGGGGGAGCATTTTTGGTGCCCCCTTAAGTGGAGTTGGGGGAACAGCAAGGGTGCACCTGGGCCTGAGTCTTTCAGTGGCGTTGGCAGTCGGCCAGGAGGGAGATGCATCCTAGGGAGCTGGAGCCTGCATGCTGGGCCTGGCCACATCACTGTTTTCCTCACCCTCTGGTTTTATTTTTAAACATTTGGAGCATAAAAGTTGCAGGAGCACTCAGGGCATACTGCATAGCCCTGGCTTGGGTTCCCCGGCTCTCCTTCCCTCTCTCTCTCCTCTTTTTTCTCTGTCCCTCCCTCTGTCTCTGTCTCTCCTCCACACACTTCTTTTTTTTTTTTTTTTTTTTTTTTTTTTGGAGACGGAGTCTCGCTCTGTCGCCCAGGCTGGAGTGCAGTGGCCGGATCTCAGCTCACTGCAAGCTCCGCCTCCGGGGTTTACGCCATTCTCCTGCCTCAGCCTCCCAAGTAACTGGGATTACAGGTGCCCGCCATCTCGCCCGGCTAGTTTTTTGTATTTTTTTAGTAGAGATGGGGTTTCACCGTGTTCGCCAGGATGGTCTCGATCTCCTGACCTCGTGATCCACCCGTCTCGGCCTCCCAAAGTGCTGGGATTACAGGCTTGAGCCACCGCGCCCGGCCTCCTCCACACACTTCTATTTTGCCAAACCATTTGGAGAATGCAGGCAGCAGACTCCAAAACCATTCTGCCTCCACCTCTGAGCACAACCTTCCCAGTCATAGCCATGTTAACGTGAGTGTGCCTGAGATCACTGCTGGTTCCGTGACGTCACCCAGCATCATCCACACCACATCCCAGTGAGCAGTGAGGACAAAAATGGCCAGGTTAGGACCCCATGTTGCCTTTTTTTTGCCACCCATATCCTGGAGCCCCTTTCCTTCTGTTCTTTATTATTTATTTATTTTTATTTTTTATTTTTTGAGACAGGGACCGGGTTCTGCTCTGTTGCCCAGGCTGGAGTGCAGCAGACCTTCCAGGCTCAAGCAATCATCCTCCCACCTCAGCCTCCCGAACAGCTGAGACTACAGGCAGGCTTGGCTACTTTTTTGAGTTTTTGAGGAGATAGGGTCTCGCTGTGTTGGCCAGGCTGGTCTCAAACTCTTGGGCTCAAGCGATCTTCCCATCTCGGCCTCCCAAAGTGCTGAGATTACAGGTGCACGCCACCGTGCCTGGCCCAGTGTTAGCAATTTGATATTAAAATTGAAATTATAGGCCGGGTGCAGTGGCTCATGCCTGTAATCCCAGCCTTCGGGAGGCTGAGGCGGGTGGACCAGCTAAGGTTGGGATTTCAAGACCAGCCTGGCCAACATGGCGAAACCCTGTCTCTACTAAAAAAAAATACAAAAATTAGCCAGGCGTGGTGGTGGGTGCCTCTAGTCCCAGCTACTCGGGAGGCTGAGGCAGGAGAATGGCTTGAACCCGGGAGGTGGAGGCTGCAGTGAGCTGAGATCATGCCACTGCACTCCAGCCTGAGTGACAGAGCAAGTCTCCATCTCAAAAAACAAATAACTTTTTAAAAAATTGCAATTAGGGCCGGGCATGGTGGCTCACGCCTGTAATCCCAATACTTTGAGAGGCCAAGGCGGGTGGATCACCTGAGGTCAGGAGTTGGAGACAAACCTAGCCAACATGGTGAAACTCTGTCTCCACCCAAAAATATAAAACATTGGCGGGGCATGGCAGTGGGCATCTGTAATCCCATCTGCTCAGGAGGCTGAGGCAGGAGAATCACTTGAACCCAGGAGATGGAAGTTGCAGTGAGCTAAGATCATGCCATTGCACTCCAGCCTGGGCAACAAGAGCAAAACTCCGTCTCAAAAACAAACAAAAAATGCAATTGTGAATATTCATTCACATTTTAGATCCAAACACAAATTTTAAAACATTAATTTTTTAAATTAAATTTAAAAATTTAAAAATTCTGCTGCTTTCTTGCCCCTTCACTTCTTGGGGACCTTGATATACAGGCCCAAGCGGGATCTAGTGGTAAATAGGTCACAACCCCATCCCCTGCAGAACCACAGAGGAAACAGAAATCCCTGACTAATGAATCTATGAACCTGAGGCTAAGGACCACTGAGGAGTCTGGGTGCCCCGGGGTATATGACAGAGGCCAACCCAGTGGGGGCCAGCCTGGGCAACATAGTGAGACCCTGAATCTACAAAACAAATACAAAAATTAGCCAGGTGTGGTGGTGGTGTGTGCCTGTAGTCCCAGCTACTGGGGAAGCTGAGCCAGGAGGATCACCTGAGCTCACCTACAGTCCAGCTACTCAAGAGGCTGAGGCTGGAGGATCGCTTGAGCCTAGGAAGTCAAGGCTGCATTGAGCCATGATGGCACCACTGAGCTCCAGCTTGGGTGACATGGTGAGACCCTGTCTAAAAAAATGTACGTAAAGTGGATTTTTGGAGCAGGGGATTGCAGTAGGAGCTTACTCAGTTCACTCCACGCATTGACCTGGTATTGCAGTAGCTCCAAGAACGGTGCACCCCTCCCATATGTTTGGTTGCTGAGTGTAGATGTCATTAATTTTAATTTTGAAAAAGAGAGAAAACTTACAAATTACCTCCAGTAATTCCACTACTTAGAGGTAAATTTTTTAAAAATATGTGTGTGTGTGTGTGTGTGTGTGTGTGTGTGTGTGTATATATAATTTTTTTTTTTTTTTAGCCAGAGTTTCGCTCTTTTTTTTTTTTTTGAGATGGAGTCTCGCTCTGTCACCCAGGCTGGAGTGCAGTGGCGCAATCTTGGCTCACTGCAAGCTCCGCCTCCCGGGTTCACGCCATTCTCCGGCCTCAGCTTCCCGAGTAGCTGGGACTACAGGCGCCCGCCACTGCGCCCGGCTAATTTTTTTCTATTTTTAGTAGAGACGGGGTTTCACCATGGTCTCGATCTGCTGACCTTGTGATCCGCCCGCCTCGGCCTTCCAAAGTGCTGGGATTACAGGCGTGAGCCACCGCGCCCGGCCCAGAGTTTCGCTCTTATTGCCCAGGCTGGAGTGCAATGGTGCGATCTTGGCTCACCGCAACCTCTGCCTCCCGGGTCCAAGTGATTCTCCTGCCTGAGTCTCTCTAGTAGCTGGGATTACAGGCATGCACCACCACACCCGGCTAATTTTGTACTTTTAGTAGAGACAGGGTTTCTCCATGTTGGTCAGGCTGGTCTCGAACTCCCGACCTCAGGTGATCCGCCCGCCTCAGCCTCCCAAAGTGCTAGGATTACAGGCGTGAGCCACCGTGCCCGGCCAGAAAATATGTATTTTTTCAATTTTTCTATTTTCAGAAAATCAAGGTGATGCCACACTTGTTGAGACAGTCTTGCTCTGTCGCCCAGGCTGGAGTGCAGTGGGGAGATCTCGGCTCACTGCAACCTCTGCCTC